TAAAACACCCTCATGTAGCTCAGAGTTCTATAAAAAAAATTTATTGATAACTAACAGCTAGATCAGTAGTTTTCAGCCCTGGTCAAATATTTAGAATCAGCAGGCGAGCTTTTTAAAAACATCAAGGTGCAGGAGACATCCTGAAGATTCTGATTTAGCTGATCTGCATGGGATCCAGGCATCCGTATTTTTTAAAAGCTCCCTCAGTTATTCTAATGTGTAGCCAACATTTGCCAGGCAATTCAACAGTCATAGTTCCACAACTCTTTCTTCAAGGCATTAGGAGAATTTGATTACAAAGGATATCATCACAGCAGGCTTCATCAGTAGGTGACAATTCACCGGGCACAATATCAGAGTCACCATGCATGTCTCCCCACCCACAGTGCCTTCCCCTGCACACTAATGCCTAAAATTCCACCACTGGAGTTTCACTCCTTTGTCAACACTTTCCTTTATTTTTAAAAGGGAAATATTTTTGAGATTGCCTCATCTGTCATCTACACCTTGAAATAGGTGGGTTTATCAGATTATTAGAAAAACTGCTAATAGGAGAGTTGATAGCTGAGAGGAGTGGGATGGTTTTTCCCTATTAACAAATAAAGCTATGGAAGGAAAACTGGGAGATAACAATGATGGACCTTCTTTACTTCACAATTCTGAAATGAGTTCCAATATATTATGTCCCATTAAACTTTGCTTCTTGTTTGTGAATTTCCTAGGACTAATTTTTATTGGTTATTTCTAAGGAAAAAAAAAATCCCACTTTGTTGACAAATTAGCCACCTTTTAGAGTTTTTAAAATGGAGATACACAGAAATTAAGCATCTTTTCTGGTGTCTCATAAATAGTTTTCTCTGTGTTTGACAGTGTAGAAGAGGTTTGACCAGGGGTTAACCCAGGAAGAATGAGTCATCTAAGATACTTGTCCCAGCAGATCTGTGGGAGGAAGAAATTCTAAGTGTGTGTGTATGATTAACTCTTGTGCTTCTACTTACATATTTTTATTCAAGACCTGGATTGAGTGGTAATGGCTGCCTTGCACCATCTAGTTTGGGATTAGTCATTATTTGATTTTGTGCATAACATAGTTTTTCCTTAAAAATAGTCTCACTTCTTTTTGGAATTTACTCAAATTGGAGCACTTTATTCATTCATTCATTTGACTATGCTGGATGTCGGGAATTCGGTGGTAAGGAAAAACAGAAACAGCTCCTTCTCTTTTGGACCTTACACATTAGAGGGAGAACAAACATTAGTAAATCGATCAGGAAAATGGCTGTTTAATTTTAAATTGTGGTGTCTGTGATGAAGGAAAGTTTTGTGGTTCTAGAAAAGTGTATAGCCAGAGGACGTGACTGAAGTGGCCAGAAAGGCAAGGAACATTAAAAATAGGGGGAGCCGCATGTGCTAAGGTCCTGTAGCAAGGGAGGAGTATGACATTTAAGTACTAAAGGAAGCATAAAGAGCTAGAGTGGCGGAAGGTGAGACAAAAGAAGTGGAAAGGGTGATACCATATTGGACTACTGTCCTCTATCCTAAGAGCAATAGGAAACTCTTGATGGGTTAAAAACTGAAGAAGGACGTGACCAGGACCAAATTTTTAAAAGTTACTCTAGGTACAGTGCCAAGGATATATGGGAGAAGAGCAAGTGTGAGAAAGGTAAGGGCAGTTAGGAAGCTATTGCTGTAGTGCAGGCAAGAATTAGTAGCTTGGGCTAAGATGGTGGTGGCAGAGACCATGAGGCAGTGGGAATGGGGGATGGGTGAGGGGACTTTTTGGGAAATGAGATGTCCAAATGGTATGGCTGTTGGGGAGATGGAGTGGGAGGGTGAGGATGCCTCTGAGGCTTCAGGCTTCTTATATGTGTATAAGTGCGTGCTGACCATGCCATTCATTGTGAGTAGGAACACTGGGAAAGGACCAAGTTTGGAGGACACTGAATTTCATTTTCAAATATTGAGCTAGAAATGATTTTGAGACAAAAAAGAATTTTATATTGAAAACCCATTTAGAATAGAGTAGGACCCCCTTAATTCACAGTAATAATCAGAGATGCATTAAACTTGATCACATTTTACAAATTAGTAAGTAAACAATTTTTAATTAAGGATGCTGTACTTCATCTTGCTGCTTTGCCTTAATTATTAATGACACAATTTCGGAGTGTGTTAGTAAATATGTTATATTTTTAGAAACAATGAAGTCGTGGTAATGGGAGGCCACACTTCCGTAGTCAAGCTAGTAAATCCTGGCTGAGGCAAACATAGAGGAAGCAGAGGGGGGTGTTTTTTCTGGAGAGATTTATTGAGCTAACTGAACCAATGAGGTTCATTGGTATTTATGAATGGTTCGTTAGTGTAACTATCTGAACACAAGGTGAATTCACATTAAATGATAAGACTTCCCAATAATTAATATGTGCCACTCTTTAGAATTTGTAATTAGAGGAAAGAGGCAAAGTGAAAGGAAATAGATAAAAGGATAATTGTTATAAAATTAAACTCCTTGAAAGCCAATTCAGTTTCTTTGTGAAGCAAACAAGACAAAAAGGACCAGAAGAATTGAAAATGTATTTTCTCTCTTAGTTGGCAACTCAACTTCAAGCTAGTTCAGAGTTTCTGGTTTTTATCCTAAGAGCAGTGGAAAATTCCTAAAGGGTTTAAACTAAAGGGTGACATGATCAGGACTGAGTTTTTAAAAGAATTACCTTGCACTATTGACATTTGGGGCTGGATAATTCTTTCTTTTGGAAGACTGACTTGACCTGTGCTTTGCAAATGGTTAGCAGCGTCCTTGGTCTCTATCCACTAGTTGCCAATAGCAATCCCCTCCCCAATTGTAAAAATGAAAAAATTCTGCAGGCATTATCAAAATATACCATGAGGGGCAAAATTGTCCTGTTGGAGAACCACTGAGCTAAATTTAGAATGCCTGACAATGTCGTTTGACAACCATTTTAAGATTTGTTGGCTTTTATTTTGCTTAATAAATGTTTACTAGGGACCTTCTCTGGTGTGATGTTCAAAGAGGAGTAAGAGTCTTTCTGCTTTTAAGGGGTGTATGATTTTAGGGAAGGGGTGGAGAACCGACACATTTGGAAATTAAAGAATGATGGGGAAAGATACTGTGTTAGACCAGTCTTGCATTTCTGTAAAGGAATATCTGAGACTGGGTAACTGATAAAGAAAATAGTTTTATTTTGACTTAAAGTTCCACCGACTGTACAAAAAGCATGGTGCCGGCACCTGCTCCTGGTGAGGGCCTCAGGGAGCTTACAATCATAGCAAAAGGTAACAGGGAACCAGCATGTCACATGGCAAGAGCATGAGCAAGAAGGTGAGGTGGGAGGAGGTTCCAGACTTTTAAACAATCAGATCTCACGTGAACTGAGAACTCATTCATAACCTAGGGGATGGTCCTAAGCCTTCATGAGGGATCTGCCCCATGATCCAATCACCTCCCACCAGGCCTCACCTTCAACACTGGGAATTACATTTCAACATGAGATTTGGAGGGGACAGACATCCAAACTATATCAGATACCATTCCAAAATAAGGTAGGAAAGGATGCTTGTTCAAGTGTAGGCTTCCATGCTAACCTAGAATTGTCCTTTAGCTGGGTTTTTCTCAGTGGCAACATCTTAGGATCTGACCTATCGATCACTCTGGTTGTCTGTGTTCACTGATGAGAGAATTGAATATGAGAGAAGAATCCCCAGCAATTCCAGATGAAATATCCTTTGCATAAAGTTTCTCCTGACCTCTCTGGAATTTTGCCTGACCCATTATAACCTTTCTCTTCTATCTTTTCCTCTCACCTAAATCCATCTGGTCCTACCAACATTCTTAAATTTCATTGAACTTTCGGAGAAAAACAAACAAACTCATCTTTAACCCTGCCTGTCCTGTCAAGTATGTATCATTCTATTTCTCATCCCATCCCATAAGAAAGAAACCTCTGCAGCTGGGCACAGTGGCTCACACCTGTAATCCCAGCTCTTTGGGAGGTCAAGGCAGGTGGATCACAGGCTCAAGAGATCAAGACCATCCTGGCCAACATGGTGAAACTCCCTCTCTACTAAAAATACAAAAACTAGTCAGGCGTGGTGGCACGAACCAGTAGTCCCAGCCTCTCAGGAGGCTGAGGCAGGAGAATCACTTGAACCCAGGAGGTGGAGGTTGCAGTGAGCCAAGATCTCACCACTGCTCTCCAGTCTGGGCGACAGAGTGAGACTCCATCTCAAAAAAAAAGAAAAGAAAAGAAAAGAAAGGAAACCTCTGCCATGATACAGACGTGATTCTCTCCTGCGTAACACTCAACTTTTATTACCAAATTCCACAACCTTTTTTGTGTTCCCTTTAACATTGATGGCCAACCTTCCCCTTCATTTCTACTTCTTCCAAGTTTCTTTGGTCATACCCTTGCTTTCTGTCCCACTGGAATCATTTATTTTTCTTCTCTGGCTCTTGCCAGTAGACTTAGTGACCAAATGGCTGACTCAAGTATTTAGTGAATTTAAACACCTGATGTGCTTTGACTCCCCATTATTTCTCTCTCACTTAAATTAAGGAAGTGTGTTTGTAAATAAAATTGAACTAAGCTGTTCATTGCCACCCCCAGAATGGTTTTGGTTTTTGTTTTTTTTTTCCCAGATTAAATGTGCCAGTGTAAACTTTGCAATCAGGGTGGCTCCTTTTTAGGAAGAATACTGTTTCATTGTGCTGAAGGCATTGTACTGACATTTCACATGACAAAATGCATCCCTGCTTCTGTTCCTGCCTGCTGCAAATGCAGGCAAGTCATTAACTCACCCTGAAAGCTGCTCCTCTTTGTTTTACTGTAACACCTTTGGAGGAGTTGAAAGAAAAATGAGTTCTTTCTGCCCAAGAAAATTATAAAGAATTTTCAAAACTGATATTCAGTGTCTTTGGGAAATTTTTAATTCACTTAGAAAAATACAGAAATGAATGTTTTGTTTTTGACATTTTTTGATAGTGCCTTTTGCTGAATATCCCCAAAGACCCAAGCAGTTGGAAGAACTGGACGCATGCTCAACATTTCTGTGCTGAAGAAGCGGGGACCCTGGTCGCCATTGAAAGTGAGGTGGAGCAAGGTAGAGTACTCAAGATCCAACCAGGCCAAGATAACCATTTTTATTCAAGTATTTATTAAAATATCTCCCCACCAATACTAACATTCCCAAATCAACATATAAAATACTGTATTGCTGATGATACACGAATTTTCAGTTTGACCCATAGGTTTTATTTCATGATATCTGTAAAAGTTAGTGTGCTGCATTGCTTATAGACTGCTGGGTTTGGGAGCCTTTTCTCTTACCAGTAGCAGTGGAAAGAATAAGGACATATTTATGGCCTATATTTCAAAATGGCTAAAAGAGTCTCAGGTATAATCTACATGTAATTGCATGGTATGATTTTTAGATCCCTTTAGATTTACCTACATGCTTTTGTTTGATATTGAAACAATTATATACTTTAGTTTAAATATAGTAGGTAAATCCTCTTTTGTTTAGAAAGGTAATTAATGAACACTGGAAATTGTTTTGTTAATGATATGATGAAATCTCAGGTTATCCAGCTAATTTCTGTCAATTTAAGCTAAAACAAAAGTGAAAGAAACTGCATTACCTTAACAAGGATAAAGTAACAAATTCCTACAAATGATTCATAATTATGTTTTGCTGGCATTTAAATATAATCATAGCTATAAATAGGATTCAGTGATTACCCAAATGCTTTCTGCAGTATTAAATTAGATAATGTATTCCTGCTTTTCAGCTTTCATTACTATGAATCTTTTTGGCCAGACCACTAATGTGTGGATAGGTTTACAAAATGATGATTATGAAACATGGCTAAATGGAAAGCCTGTGGTATATTCTAACTGGTCTCCATTTGATACAATAAATGTAAGTTTTAAGATTTATTTTTTAGAGATCCCTTTGGCAAGATATTTTATTCAAGACTTGTTTATTAAAGCTTTTTTATTTCCTGTATTTTGTAGGTATAACTTCATATTAGATTGTCATTAACATTAATTTTTAATGTAATTTGATATAATTTTATGTGTTCCATAAATATAATTACTTATCACAATAATTGTTTATTTTGTAGGTTATGAAATGACTCGTGAATAAGTTTATTAAATGCAAATAAAGGAATAATGGTGTCTTAATTTTTAAAATAATGTTCTTAATACAAATTTTAATGTTATAATAATGCTAAATGTTATCATACTTTTCATAATATGTATTATTTTAAAGATTCCAAATCACAATACCACTGAAGTTCAGAAACACATTCCTCTCTGTGCCTTGCTCTCAAGTAATCCCAATTTTCATTTCACTGGAAAATGGTATTTTGAAGACTGTGGAAAGGAAGACTATGGGTTTGTATGTGAAAAAATGCAAGGTGAGAAATATTTGGATTTTTATTCCTTTCGTTTCCAAAGGCCATCCTTCTCTTTCATGTTGGTTTTACACAGCTGTGTAGCTAACAGCTTCATGGCTAACAGTGTCAGGTACTTCTCTGGCTTTACGTAAGTTTAGTTATTTAATCTCTTCTACCCTAGGCTTATGCCCTTTAGTGGGATTCTAAGGACTGCTGAGGCCACTTGAGGGATGACCAGATTTATGTATCTATCTTAGTCATATTAAATGGCTTTACTGCTTCGTTCTGGGATTACGTATCTGTTCAGGTAATTTTTTAAGGTCCCTGAGAAAATGTTGGGAAAGAATCAGGGAAATAAACCAACTCATACTGGCTCCATTTTTGGAACCCTGAAAATGGTCTCTGTGGCTAAATGTGGTATGCAGCAAGCTTCTAGATCTGATGGGCAGAACCCCCAAATGGTTTCTGTGTGAAATGCCAAAGCCACACTATTACAAATAGCCAACAGGGTCAATGAGCAGTGTGAATGCACTATAACTGACCTTGAGTAGTATAAATACAAACAACAACAGCTCATGCTTTTATTGAATGCTGGGTACATACCCCTGCCCACACCACCCAAGAAACCCATAGTTGGTGTCTAGAGCTGTGTGGAACTCTGGGTAGTCTAGCATATATATATATGCTTATTTGGAATAGGAATTTTACTTCTGAATGTGGCATACGTGTGAAGTCTCTAATGTTACTATCAACCCATCCTCGAAAAAGCAGTGCCAGGGAAGCTCCATTTCTGGTTCTCATTTACCACTTAAACATTATAGTGGTCAGGAACTGAAAAAAAGATACTAGATCTGTAATAGCAAGAGTAATATGGGAACAGCAGAGCCTTGTAGGGAAAGAAATAATATGAGCATGCCAGGTACTTACACATCTATGATGTGCCTGACACTGTACCTTGAGTGTATGCTCAGTTTGCCATAAAATCCTCAAGACAGTTCTATGAATTAAGTAAAAGTTTCCCATTTTACAGATGAGGAACTTGAGGCTTAAAAACATAAGTAATCCTTGCTGGGCACAGTGGCTCACACCAGTAATCCTAGCACTTTGGGGGGCCAAGGCGGGTGGATTGACTGAACTCAGGAGTTCAAGACCAGCCTGGGCAACATGGTGAAACCCCGTCTCTACTAAAATACAAAAAATTAACCTAGCGTGGTGGTGGGCACCTGTATTCCTAGCTACTAGGGAGGCTAAGGCACAAGAATCACTTGAACCCGGGAGGCGGAGGTTGCAGTGAGCCGAGATGGCACCACTGCACTCCAGCCTGGGCTACAGAGCAAGACACTCTCTCTGGGAAAACAGCACAACACAACACAAAACAAAACAAAACAAAACAAAAATAACACACTCAAGAGAATCTCAGTTAAACACAATGATTTTATTCCACTACCTTAATGTTGATTTATTCTTGGAATTTGCCCTCTGATCACTTTCTCTCTTTGGTATTTTTTAGGACTAACAGTGTAGATTTTCCTTTAGAGATAGTATAAAATAGTGGTGATTGAGAGCATAGGCACTGGAGTGCCCACCACACATGGGTTCCCACCCTCCTTTGTAGATAAGCTTCAGTCAAGTCATGACCTTCTGTGATCATGATTTCTGCATCTGCAAAATGTGGTAATAACCATCTCACACACTCTATGTATATATAACACTTAGCATACTTCTAGCAAGTATTTAACAAATAATAGAGTTTTTTATTATTTCCAAAAAGTATTGTTCAACTACACTAATTATTGTAGCCAACAATGACTATTCAAGTTCTACTCCTTCTCCATTTGCCAAATACATATGTGCTCACATTGGGCTTGAACCCAAAGTCTTTCATCTACCAAAAAAATTAAGAAACCAAATAAGAAGAGACACAATGGCAAAGCAAGACTCCCCAGTTCAGAACTTGGTTTCCAATAGAGCTTTCTTTTTCAGGGCAATGGGTGGAAAACCCTGCTGCTCAAAAATCACTTGTTTTGAAACTTAGTGGAATCAATTATGCATGGAGAAATTTATATATGTAAAAATACAGACATATAACTCAGTGGGGAAAAAAACCAGTCAAATTGGCATTTGGGTAACAGATACAAAGAATTTCATTTAATTTTACGAATTGTTAGCATTTTTAAATGGCTACTTTGATATTATTTTTATTTTGTATGAATAACCATTACACTGGGCACATAGGCTGGGCACAGACTTCTAGCAAAGATTAAAAATATGATAAAAGTGTGATCCATCACAATTTATAGAAATTAAATAGATTCATTTTACTTTGGTTTTTCCATATGTACGGCTGCTATATTGAGGTAACGGTTTCAGATAAAGGTCCGTTTCCCACTTTGCCATTTTTATTGGAGGGAGTATGGCCAGAGGCGGAGAGTGGAGGAAGAAGCAACAATCATAGGATGCTTTCTGTGTCTCCATACAATAGTGTGTACGCTGTGTGGATATCTCGTTCAATTCCATCCACACCTCTCCAAGGGAGACCATCATCATCTCTTGGAGACCATAAATTTGAGGTTTAGAAAGGTTTATTTGCCCAAGAGCTCTTAGCCAGTTAGGGCCAGGAATAGGATTAAGTCCCAGTCTCATGACCTATCCACACCTCACATGCTTCTTTCCAACACCAAATGTTGTTAAACCAGTACACAGAAATTCAAGTCACTTTGGATCAGAAGGTACAAAAACTCTTACCTTGTTTTTGTCCCTTAGATTTTCTAAACCTTTAATCTATCCTAGTATATAACATAATACAGAGCAGAAAGGCAAACGCATATATTAGAGAGGAAACACCTGTTCATAAACACAGGCTTGGTTTTCACATGATCAGAGGCACTCACGAACACTCAAGCACCAATGCTTGACAACGTGTGGGAAAACCTTGCCTTTTAATTTATAAACCTTGACTCTGACAGGTGACATATTAATAGTAACTGTTTATAAGAACAATGTGTATTTCTAAGAATTTATTAACTTTATTTTTTAAAGTTCCTTTTAGAATTTATACATGCAAATATTAAGCACAATAGTGACTATCAGTGTCAAAAGTGTTATCAAGTATTTTATCTGATAATATGCACCTGTAATATTAGGTTTGCAATGCAGTATGTGACTATATAACATGTGCCTCTCTGCTATTAATAAGCACTAAGTTCTACCAGAGCAGTGTGGATTAGGTCAAGTGTAGTTAGTGGAGTGAAACCCACCTAAGAAGATCACCATCAGTTCCACCAAAAAGCAGTCAATTTGATAAAGGATGGTCAAAAACGGAAATCTTCTAGAAATGGTTCAATCAATGTTTATGTTTTTGAAAAACGATTCATTAAATTTCCTAAGTGTTCTCATTTTTTAGCATCATCTACACTTTCAGATAGTGTCCTCGTTTTGAAACAGTCAATTCCAGAAGAAAGCTCTGTGATCAACATGGATCATAGTGACAAGGATCTATGCTAAGCTTTGCCTTCTCCTTTGTCATCCACATGCTACAAATGACTTTTGTTGCTGTTCTTGTTCTAGATACTTCTGGACGTGGTGTAAATACATCCGATATGTATCCAATGCCCAATACCTTAGAATATGGCAACAGAACTTACAAAATAATTAATGCAAATATGACTTGGTATGCAGCAATAAAAACCTGCCTGATGCACGGAGCACAGCTGGTCAGCATCACAGACCAGTATCACCAATCCTTCCTCACTGTTGTCCTCAACCGGCTAGGATATGCCCACTGGATTGGACTGTTCACTACAGATGTACGTATCCTAACTCCCTTGAGACATCCTTGAATAATTAAGTTTAGCATCTACCTCCTTCGTGATCTGGCCACTGAAATTAGCACTGAAAAAAAAATCTCAAAAATAATAATAAATATAATACTTAAATAATTGGTTTATGCAATTATTTGACCAACCTTATGAGCAGCCTATGACTACAAAATAAGAGTGCACACCTCTTTAGGGTAAACATCCACTTGCCTAATGTCTGGAAATCAATACCCTTCAAAGGTTCTCTGAAAATTTCCAAGTACCCCGATACTGCCTTGCATGTGCACTGGAACACATCTGAAACTCAAGCACTGCATTTGGGAATTGGTGGCATTTAATGAATCCCCAAGAAAAAAATGAATCATTCTTCTTGTCTAGAAATGTGATTATTAATTAGTTCAGTACCCCTTATAATTAAGCACTTGAGGTTTTATTTTCCTCTAGGGATGTGGTTTAGAGAATACGTTATTTTCATTTTTTAAATAAAAATATTGTTCACTCAAAGTAGCGAAAAGTACCCTAGTCTATCCTGACCCCTAGTTCTACTCCCTAATGTCAGTAATTGTGAGCACTGTCTTGCATGCCATCTAGAAATTTTCCATGTATACACATATATATTCATGTAATGGAAGAATATGTATATTATTTTTCAAACACAAATGAGATCCTATTCTACATGCTGTCTTTGAACTTGCTTTTTAATTTGATATATCTTTTACAATTTCACATTCAGCACATAAAAATCTTGTGAATTCTTTAGAACACGGCATATAAGGATGTACCACAACTTATTAAACCATTCTCCTGTGAATAGGCATTTGGGTTCTTCTCTGTTTTTCACAGTTATAAACAATGCACATGAAATATCCTTGTTGCAGTAGGATAATTTTTTAGAAGTAAAATTGCTGCATACCCTTTAAATTTTGACAAGTACTACCAAATTGCCCTCCAAGAGTTTGCACCAATTTACCTGCCAACAACAGCATGTGATAACGTCTAATTTTTTCACATCCTTGCCAACACCAGGTATTCTCAAAATTTTAATCCTTGCCAGTGGGAGAGATAAATGAATGATATTTCATGATGATTTATTGCATCATGTAGTACAGAATGTTGTAACTTTATGTAGTCAATTTTGCTTTATGGCCTCTGGATTTTCTATGACTTGGAAAGGTTTTCCCCACACCAACAGTACAAAAAAATTTAACCAAGTTTTCTTTAACATGTTTACATTTTTAATTTTATGTTTGAATCTTTGATCAATCTGAAATGTATTTCACTGTAAAAGACAAGGTACTAGTCCAATTTCACGCTGATTGCTTACTAGAAAATCATAGTGGCAGGGAGCCAAGAATTCCTAAAAATCAAAAAAGATCTCATTTGTGGCAGATATTCCTGTTTGTGAAGCTGTATCACAGATGTCCTAGCCCCTCTTTAAACAGGTGTGTGAAAATAGCAGTCGATGTGGGAATTGTAGTATGCTCAGATAACATTGGGTGATGCTGCCAGCAGTCATGGCAAGGAAATGATGGCTCAGTTTTCCTCCACAGAATGGTCTTAATTTTGACTGGTCTGATGGCACCAAATCCTCTTTCACTTTTTGGAAAGACGAGGAGTCCTCCCTCCATGGTGACTGCGTTTTTGCCGACACCAACGGACGCTGGCATAGCACAGCCTGTGAGTCATTTCTGCAAGGTGCCATTTGTCATGTGCCCCCTGGTAGGTACGATTCTATTCAACTCAAAAATATACCCTATGTAACTACTGTGTGCAAGGCACTGTGCTAAGCAAAGGATATGAGGATGAGTGTAGTAAGAAGTCTCTGTCTTCAAGAAGCCGCTGGTCTCGTGGGTGATGTAAAGAAAAACAGAACTACAAAATGATACAAGAGAGGTAGCAAATGTTATGGGGGTTATCAAGAAAAAGAACGCATTGTATCCATTTGGAGAAAGGTAGAAAGGCTTCTTGAAGGACACGGCAGTGCAGATGGGCCTTGATAAATGAGTGGGTGTAGATGGCTAATAATGGGACATGGAAAGGCATTCTGAGCAGAAAAGCTGGATGAAAATGGGGAAGGAAGGCAGGACTAGGATTGTGTAAGGCAAAGCCGATGTTGGAATTTGCCTGAATGCAGGTTAGGCGTAAGGGAGGGGTGGGAAATTAGATGAGAAACATGGGCTTCAAGCATGTGTGGAGGACTTTGAAGATTCATGTTTAAATCAAAGATTGATAGGATTCCAGAGCTACAATAAGATGATGGTGATATTGTTTGGATATTTAGTAGATATCCGGTTCTGCACTTTACATAATATCTCATTTACACTTAAAGTTCACCTGTCCTAACCCCTTTATTAAAAATGAAATGTAAGTTCAGAGCATTAAATAACTTCCTAAGTGTCTCACAGCTGTCCATCACCAGTACCAAGAGGAGAAATCAGGTTTCCTGCACAGAATTCGCTAACACAAGCTGGCCTCCTTTTAAATCTCTCATTTAGTAAAAGTGCATGTATTTACTTGCATTCCGGGTACTGTATCAGATAACATACAAATTATATATCTTTAGATCAAAACAATCCAGATTAAATATAAATGATAGCCACATATATCTTGGAAAAGCTAATTGTGCTTCTAAAACACCATAAAAGCTGTCCTTACCCCCCCCCCCCTTTTTTTTTTATTAGCTCTTGCCTTTTCTTGGAATCTTGTCCTTTCAATAACAATGCATTTATTGAATGCTTAAGAAGTGTCAGGCTCTAACTCATTGAAACTTCTCAACTTGTAAAGAAGGTGGCTGTGTGGCATACACCAGTAATCCCAGCACTTTGGGAGGCAAGAGCAGGAGGACCTCTTCAGACCAGGAGCTTGAGACCAGCTTGATTAACACAGTGAGACTCTTTCTCTACAAAAAAAAAAAAAAAAAATCAATTATCTGAGCTTGGTGGTGCGTGCCTGTAGTCTGCTACTTGGGAGGCTGAGGCTGGAGGATCACTTGAATCCAGGAGTTTGAGGCTGCAGTGAGCTATGATTGTGCCACTGCACTTCAGCCTAGGTGACAGAGTGAGACTTTGTCTCTTAAAAAGTTTTTTGTAATTTAAGAAAAAAAATTTTAAAGGTTTTGTTGTTAGCTCTCTTTTATAGATAAAGAAACCAAGTGCAAGGTAACATGCCGACGGCCACGCAACTAGTAAGTGGTGGAGCCGGGATCTCAGCATGGATGTGTCTAACTCTCATGCTTGCTCTCTGAAATAAAGTCTCCCTGGAGTTCCCTTATTTATTTTATGTTATGCTGCCTTATGATACTTTATTGAATGCATTATTTTCTTTCATAGGTTTATTAGTGGGTAAGGACTTTTCAAATCTGTGATACACAGCACTGCATGAAATGCATACATTTGGAAATCTCTTTTGCCAGCATCAGTCAGCTGCCACTCTCTCTGGGAGTCATAGCCCCTGCTTGTTCCAAACTTTAGGATGCTAACTGTAAACATGAAAGAGCCACCCTCACCCAGGCAGCACCCAAACTAAGCCTACAAAGCTATGCATTAGCATATTTTGTTATGTTTAGGTAAAGATTCTTTCTGTCAGAAATGCTATAAACTGGTCGTAGTTTTATAATCATTTATATGAAACCCAATCTTTTGGAGTATTACCATGAAAATCTTGTTACATATATTTATCTTGGTCTTTTATAGAATGTAGTATAATATTTATCTCAATAAATAAACCCAGTCACCACCCTGAAATCATAACTGGTTTTTCTTCACAGAAACAAGACCATCTGAACACCCAGAGTTGTGCTCCGAAACATCTATTCCCTGGATAAAATTTAAAAGTAATTGCTACAGTTTTTCTACAGTCCTAGACAGTATGAGTTTTGAGGCTGCTCATGAATTTTGCAAAAAGGAAGGTAATTGTTTTTGTGATGGTAAAAATGCTTTCATGTGCTCCTTCTTGCCATTTCAGTAAACAATGTGGATTTCTTTATTCACCCCATTATTTAGTGACTTTAGAAGCAACAAAAACTATTGAAAAAATAAATACTATTAAAATTTCTTGTTTGGAGGACAGCTACTATATGAAACAGTGTCCAGTGTAAATTTGGAAACCTAAGATGATGTCTCAGCATACTGCACTTTCTGAAGAAAACGTTCCTTTTGCATGCATTTGCATTATGAATTTTGAATGTTCCCTAAAATTAATATTCTATGCCTTAACTTCTGAAGTGCAAGCTTATATCTTTTTAAAACTGTGGTTTTACTTTTTAAATTTAAAGTATCTTATTTACAATGGAAATTTTCAATTTTCAAAACCTGAGCTTTACAAATAATGGTATAGGAAACATTTTTTTAAGTATATTTATGTGTAAACACAAATATTCCTTTGCTGCTTGTCTCTCTTATAGGTTCTAATCTTTTAACAATCAAGGATGAGGCTGAAAATGCATTTCTCCTAGAAGAGCTGTTTGCTTTTGGTTCTTCTGTCCAGATGGTTTGGTTGAATGCTCAATTTGATGGTAACAGTAAGTGATTTGGGTAGAGGAGAGGACATAAATAAATACATGGTTGTTAAAGCTGATGATAATGGCATCTGTGAGCCGAAAACTCTCCTTGGATACATTTTCTGTGAAAAAAAATAGCATGAAGCCTAAAGCCATTTCTTCCAAAAACAACACTGCAACCCTTTTCTTTACGCTTTTGTCTTTTAAAATAATCCCAGAACACCAAAAATAAAAACAAACAAACAATAACATGTTTATCTTTATGCTTAGCAGGAGGATGCTTGACTGCAACTTTGTGTTCACAGGCTTAGTCACCGCATACCAAAACCATATTTACTTGAAAATATCCCAGGTTTCTACATCTTATAAAAGCACAATAGAGTTATGGAAATGTTTCCATGATAAACTGTGCTGTTAGGATTCTGATTTGTTACTCATAAAAACCAGAGTTTGTAATAAAATGGAATCATGGTATTCTTTTCTTTATGTAATTGATGGTTATTGAAAGGTACTTGTGAAGAAAATTATTTTAATTGGTATGGAGAGCTTGTTATAGTGGTGTACCAAGGTGGGGGGTGAGCCTACCCTTTCGAGGAGTATTTTAATCACCAACATTGTTCAGAATTTCAAGCAGATGGTGATAATAAAAAGCAGACCAACTTTTAGTTAGCTGTATTGTTAGTTTTAAATTATTTTCAGACAATACACTATTGCCCACACATGGGATGGACTGTCCTACCACCCCTACCCCTTTGGTACATGGCTGGCTTGCTATTAAAGACATTCGCTGTAAAATCTTTTTAGAAAGCGAGCCATTTTGTAATGATGAAGACGTTAGGACTTCAAAGGATTTTTCTTGACTCAATTAGTTTTGTTTATCAAATGATTTCTTTAAATTGATCGTATATATATGGAATATTTCAAAATTCAAACTGTCACATTAAGAAACATGATAACCTAAATGACCTAAATTAGAACACTGTACCTAAAATAAAGAGGCAACTTTATTAACGCCTACCTTTTGATGCTGAGTACATGACTATATTTACTGAGTTGAATGTATTAGTTCAAGAGTCTCATTAAATTCAGGGGATGCTTTTTATGGTTAATTCCAGTCTTAGTATGTTTGGTAACCATGCACATAATTCATAATGAGTCAGCAATTTTCTCACAGATGAAACCATAAAGTGGTTTGATGGAACTCCCACAGACCAGTCAAACTGGGGCATTCGGAAGCCAGACACAGACTACTTCAAGCCCCATCATTGTGTTGCCCTGAGGATCCCGGAAGGATCATGGCAGCTATCCCCGTGTCAAGAAAAAAAGGGCTTTATATGTAAAATGAAGGCAGGTAGGTAAAATCAGAGAGTAATTCCTCATTTTGATTCTACCTTAACTAATGTGACTGATTTCTTCAGCATTTAAAGGTTTTAAAATCCAAGTTTAGAGAGTATTCAGATAGATTCTGACATTATTGTCATGTTCTGCACCAAACAAGTCAGAGAATAGTTCAGCTCCTTCTTTCTCTGATAGGAGGAAAAAAAAAATCATTATAAATCAGCTAAAAGACTATGATTTTTCTTGTGTTACCCTGGTTGATCACCTAATGGGCAAAAAAGCATTTTCCCTCAAGCAAACAACTAGGAATGTAATACAACTAGGAATGTAAACCAGCAACCTTCATTCTGGTGACTGCTATTCAAAATTCTTAAGGTTTATGTTTGGTCTCAGGCAATATAATCTAGGCTTATGTACATTTGTTGTGGACAAGGAGATGTTATTCTCTGTTGCAAGTATAATGTGTCCTAAAAGTCACATTCTAACTTAATCATGAGCAACATACTTAGTGTTTAGTAATTTTTAAAAAAACAATAATTTTAGAAATCTAAGCTAGAAACTTCTAGTCAGTTGCAAACAACCAAAGAGATTTTTAAGATAGGGTGTTAAGGAGGATCACTGATGGTGGGAAAATGTCTATAATAATTACAGCAATTTCTAGATGTCAGTATTATAAAGTAGGGATCGCTGTGGCCTGGACTACTAGAGAAGGCTGCAGACATGAGGTTTTAGGATCCCAAAGGATGAAGAGAATTATAGAAGCTGGACCAGAAGAGGAAAAGGCCCAGCCTGATTAAAGGCAGCAACTAAGAATGTATTTCAATTAGAGCAAAGGGCTCACGTTAGGGGGTGATGGGAATAAAATTGGACAGTAATGTAGGATCCTTTCACAGAGAGTGCCAGGCTAAAGAGCTAAACTTTGTGGTGGAAGAGACAAACCCCTATGTGCTCTGTAGACACCTGTGATGAAGTAGAACTCATGAGGCTATGAAGAGAAACATTTGTAATTTCAGTAATTGAACTAGGAATGAAAGAGGAGGGGAGAAATAGGAAGAGAGAATCACCGGCCTTGGTGACTGATCTGATGCTGGGAATGAAGGAGAAAACACTGCAGGTGTGGGCACCAATGTCTGAAACCCCCACAGTGTGAGTCTCAACTCTGTGTGAAAAACATGGCTAAGCCTGATAAATAATGTGACCAAGTTATCACTAGCATTTAAATATCAAGAACAAATCAGAAACACTTCATGTCTTACAGGACTTTAAAGCTTCCTATTATGCAGATGACACCTCTTTCATCCTTTGTAGCAGCTTTCCAAGGTAGTGGAGCAATTTAAATATCCCCATTTTACAGATGGGAAAAGTGCCTGTCCAAACTGAGGCTACATCAAGGACTACAGAGAAAACTCTAAGTTTTCTAAGTGCTCCTTCCATGCCGCCCACTGCGTCTATTCTGAGAACAAACACTCTTAACAGTCTTTCTTAAAGATGCATCTTTGTATTTAAAGTGATGGTTATCCCAAGTACACTGTATAAAGTATATGACTATATTCAATTATCACTTGTATTCTGAAAATTTGTGCATCTGATATGCATCAATTTAAAAGAAGTGTCTTCACAAAAACACAATAATACATGTTTTCAACAGTTTAATGCAACGTTAAATTGCATTGTTTTTATAGTAAAAGAACAAGTCTGGGCCGGGTGCAGTGGCTCACACCTGTAATCCCAGCACTTTGGGAGGCAGAGGCAGGTGGATCACTTGAAGTCAGGAGTTCAAGACCAGCCTGGCCAACATGGTAAAACCCCATCTCTACTAAAAATACAAAAGTTAGCTAGGTGTAGGGGCGCACATCCGTAATCCCAGATACTAAGGAAGCCAAGGCAAGAGAATTGCTTGAACCCAGGGCAGAGGTTGCAGTGAGCCAAGATCACACCATTGCACTCTGGCCCAGGCAACAGAGTGAGACTTCATCTCAAAAAAAAAAAAAAAAAAAAAAAAAAAAAAAGTCTGTTTTTTAAAAGTACGGTTTTGCTATTGGTAACAGTGTTTATTTTTTTCATGTCTATCAGAGTGAATGCGCATCAGTAGGACATCAAGGCACTTTTTTTACTCACAAATCTATTTCTTCTTCTTCCTCTGGTTCATTCTCTATATCTTATTCTGGATCTTTACCTAGATCAAAAATAGAAGAGTTCACATTTTGATATAACATCTACTTAAAAGATGTGTTTTTACAGTAGAAAGTTTTAAAACAGGAACTCTCTAACTTTTTGGATGGAGAAGCTGTTGCTCATTCCCAAGACCCATGAGATCACAAAGGTGAGAAGATGCTGATTTAAAAATCCTTGTAAAGAGGCAGGCAGATTATCATTGCTGGACAAACTCCATGTAAGATCCCAACAAAACTGTGAGTTCCTTGTATGCAGGGTTTATATTTTACTCTATATTTATTGCAGCACAGTGCTGGGACTGAATGAAAATTTTTTGGCTTTAGAAAAAAAAAAAGCAGGGTATGTGTTTGTCAGCACTAATAACAGTGATTACAGTAAATCAAAGGTCAGCAAATTTTTTTGTAAAGGGCTAGCTAGTAAACATTTTAGACTTTGGGAGCCATATGGTCTCTGTCACATGCCATTGTAGCATGAAAGCAGGTGTAACGATACATCAATGAATGAGTGTGGCTAAGTTCCAGTAAAATATTTTTTATAAAAACAGGTGACCCAGTTTGTTCCATGGGCCATAGTTTGCTGATCCCTGTGTAAGTAATGACATATTTTTGCTGAATTAAAAGAAAAACCTCATTTTAATTTTTGTATTTGATCTTAGATATTCGCACTGCAGAGGAGCTGCCAGAAAAAGGTACGTTTGAAACCATACAGAACAGTTTGATTTTTCTTAGAAATAATAAGATAGAAAGCAACTGTATGACAGTATCTACATTACTTCATCGCCATTAACATTTTTCTTTTAAAAAAATATATATATATATTCTTTCAGGACCAAGTCACAGCATCATTCCTCTTGTGGTAGTCCTGACACTCATAGTCACTGTGGCCATTTGCACACTTTCCTTCTGCATCTACAAGCATAACGGTGGTTTCTTCGGGAGACTTGCAGGGTTTCGGAATCCTTACTATCCTGCAACCAACTTTAGTACGGTACATTTAGAAGAACATATTCTCATTTCTGATCTTGGGAAGAGTGACCAATAATAATGAGGTCAGAGAATGCCCCAGCCACCAGGGTGAGTAAAGAAGACTAAACAGGAGTCTCATCTGCCTTTCCCTTTACAGCCCACATGCTATTAGAATGTGAATTGGGTCACTATTTTAATTATTCTTGAAGTGATTACTGGTTTTGAATTTTAACCAAATCAGATGGGTTCTGATTTATTCATTTCCCTAAACTGTGATCCATTCTTAAAAAGGGGAAATTATGCATTGGTTATTTTTCGGAAAGACAAGAACTATTAAAAGAAACTCCCTATTGAAAATTCTCAAATCAATATGAGTAATAGTTTTTGCATTAATGTGTCTCTACTAAAATTTGGGGGATAAAAACTAATCTGGTATCTATTCAGACATTTACCCACACTCATACTATTAAGAAAGACAGAAAGAAGCAAAAAACAATTAATCCTGTATATGAGAGGAAGAGGAAAGGGCTTCTGAGAAGGGATTCTTAGTTGTTTCTTTTGAATTCACTTTTAATAGCAGGATTTGGAAAATACTAATTTCTATGCTTAAGGATCACAGGTTCTGGGCTCTCAACTAATATGTAAGGTGACATTCATTTTTATTAGGTCTAACATCTCAAGCTAAAGGAGAAAAAAAAATACCTTCTTTTAAATGGCAAAGACCTTCTTTAGCAGCACACTTTTATAAACAACCATATAGTTAAAATGTTGCCTTAAACCTTCAATTACTAAATGATTATTAAGTTGGATATTTTAAAATGTCTTATAGATAAGCTTAAAGTAATATATTGAAACTTTAACAGTTGTACTGTTAAAACTCATGGACTTTCTGAAAAACTAAAGATGTAGAATAATATCTAACACTCTTAACAACTGGAAGATATAAAATGTAACTTGGATTTAAAGGGGAAGAGCTAAAGATCTGAATTATAGTTTCATTAGAACCAGACAGACGATTGTTGAGAAGTACAAAATAAATTAGTAATCTAGATATCTTTATTATGTAAATGAGTTTAGGTGTTCTATTTAATAAGCTATTTTCTGGGAACCATCTCCTTTTATATTAGTCTACTTAGTGTAGATGGTAAATAATGATTATGATACTGTCTGTAAATAAAAAATTACAGATTTTATTTTCCTTTTTTAGTTCCTTATAAAGAAAACAGCTTCATAATCAATATCTAAAAATGTACTCATTACATAACTGTTTATTGGATTTTATCAAGAAAAAAGTGTAATGGGCATGGTGGCATGCACCTGTAGTCCCAGCTACTTGGGAGGCTAAGGGAAGAGGATAAACTGAGCCCAGAAGTTGGAGGCTGCAGTGAATTATGGTTGCTCCACTGCACTCCAGCCTGGGCAACTGAATGAGACCCCAACTCAAAAAAAGTGCTGTTCTAGAAACAGATGCTAAGGTGAGCAACTTGGGGTAAAGGCTATCTTTTCATGGCACTTATTTTCTAATGAGGGAAAACTGACAGTAACTCAGTAAAGAAATGCATATGCAGAAAATAGCAAGTGGTTATGAAAATGAAGTAAAGTTCCATGATAGAGAGAAACTGCGGGCTCTCAGGGCCTCCCTGAGAGTGTGCATTTTAATTATTACAACCAACTGCCTCAAAACCAGTGGCCACTAGTCACAAGGGGGAGCTCTGAGAGAAAGTATGAATGAATTTCTAGGCGGCAAACCATCATCATTAGAAATACAATTTGAAGAGCGTACCACTAAGAATGGAATCCTTGTGGCCTGCAACAGTTAACCCAGCTTCCAAAAGCAGCTCTTCGCTACTGTTATAATAATTTACACACTGAGACAGGCTACTTCCATAATTTTTTAAGTATTGGGACTTCATTTTTTAAAAGATATTATATGATGTGGCAGTTGCGTATTTATGACTCAAAAGAATAATTGGCTTGAACTCACCAGATGGTATAAAAGCCCAATTTAACAATCTTTTGAGTGGAATTAAAGTTCTGTTCTTTTCAATGGACTTGTAAAAACTGCTAATCAACCAGCCTTCCTGTCAGGGTATATAGTCACACATAGTAATTTGACAAAACACACCATTCGGAAAGTGACTTTGCAGAAATAAGCAGTATTGCTTGTCAATGATCCATGCTTTGGTGTTTAGTATTGAACAACACCTCCGGAGAATCTGGACCCGTGGACAGATCACACACTTCTTGCCATTACTGAATTTGCAGAAATAGCACTGAAGTGTTCTGCTACACTTATATATATGCAATTTTTTTGAAAAATTTTTTTTTTTTTTAATGGAGTCTTGCTCTGTTGCCACGCAGGAGTACAGTGGCGTGATCTTGGCTCACTGCAACCTTCGACTGCCTGGTTCAAGCGAGTTTCCTGCCTCAGCCTCCCGAGTAGCTGGGATTACAGGCGCGCACCACCATGCCTAGCTAATTTTTGTATTTTTAGTAGAGACAGGGTTTCACCATGTTGGCCAGGATGGTCTCAATCTCCTGACCTCGTGATCCACCCACCCCAGTCTCCCGAAGTGCTGGGATTACAGGCATGAGCTCCCGCACCCAGCCTCATGTGTATTTTTAATCTGAACTAGATTTTGTAACTATAAGACGAAAAGAGAAAAAAAGTAGCAGGTAATGGGTATATTATACACTATTTTGGTGATGGTTACACCAGACTTTACCACTACATACTGTATTTATGTAACAAAATTACACTTGTACTCCTTACATTTATGCCAAAAAAAACAGCAGGATCACAAATTCACACACAGTTAATGCGCCCTTTCAAAAGTCAATTATTTTCTATAACTAATTTGAGCATCTTTATAGACTCTGAGTAATGGAAATTCTTGAGTTTTTCCATTTAACAGTATCTTGGGCTCTTACAATTACAACAGTCTTCTTTCAGGTTTAAATGTTTACTGAATGTTCACTTAAACATTGTCTTTTGGAGTTTCTTTACTCTTTTCAAAATGGTGGTTGGATATATGAGAACTTGCTGTGTCCTGATAGTGTTGAGGCGAGAAGGTGATAACTTACAGTGGATGTATGTTAGCTGATGTCCACTGAGAATAGCTGTCTGGCCTCACTCTTGGGAATTCTGCTGGCACCTGCTGTTAAGTCTGCAGTTGCTGTAATCTGTAGTCTGTTCTCTTTGATTTGGCCTTGTTCTGGCTGTCCCTGGTGCTGTCTTATCTCTTGAGAAGTGACTGTGTCTCCTGTTGAATTCCCTATCTGGACATTGCAGTTCTTGGCTACAAGGCAGTCACTTCACCCCTGCAGTGGTGAGATCCTATTAGCTACCATTGGCTACTCTTTTAGTACAGAAAGGCAAAATGCCCTAGCAAACAATCCCACAGTCTTGGTGGATTAACACAGCAAAGGTTTATTTCTCACCCACACCTGCATGGGCTGGCAAGAGGACTTTGCTCTATTCAGTCATTCATGGGTCCATGCTCCTCCTATATAGCCAGCCCTCTGTCTCCTAAGGCCTGGAGTCCTCCATGGGCCTCCAATCTGTGGCTGACAGAGGATGTTAACTTGAGACCCATCTTTGATTCATTATGGAGCTTCCACAGGCTGTTGAAATACATCCTCTAAGTCAACAGTCTTCGAACTGGGGACACATGCCTTAGGAATACAAGAGCATGGGTATTTTAAGAAACTTAATTTCCAGAATCTTCATGTATATTTTTTCTTATAACTGATTTGCCTGAGAGCACCCCTGGTTCTTCTTTCCCACCTCTCTTTACACAAATGCCTTTCTCTACCTTTAAAAAGAAAAAGAAATGACTTTCATTTCAGATCTTACTATGGGAAAATCCTCCATGGCTCCAAAGAAAAATATTCAAAGTATTGATGTCAGTGAAGTTTCTTTTAATAAAGAAATCATAAACTCATTCTGTAGATCCTCTTTTTCTGTGTTAGAACATTTTTCTGTTAAAGTTGAAGCAATGACTTAGAAATGAGTTATTTTGCCCCATGTTCATATTCTGAATTAATATGTATTATACAGTGGAACAGCTGGAGTGCTAACCACCTTCATTTGAAAATTTATCTCATCTATTACCTGACTATTGTCAGAGAACAGGCTATAGAAAAAGTCTGGTGAAAGCAAAGTGAAGTGTGTGTTGCCAAGAACCTAACATATTATGTTATCCAGAAGAAAGTCCCAAGGCTTGATTTATCTTAGATTTCTATGTGAGTTGTGAGGATCAGTATTAACAAGCTTCTTTGAACTGAAAAATGAATTCAGACCTTTTCTGAACTTTTTTTTTTATTTGGCTCATTGGTTTGACAACAAGGATTGACTTTACCCATTAAGTTTCATGATGAACATTTTGTGTTAATTGAATGAACTAAATCTGCTGCTCTTGTGTTCTGATTAAAGCTTGTAATATGATAAAGGCATTTTAATAGAAAATAGTATTGACCGAACTATAATGAATTGATATTTTACTTTTCCCAGCCTTCATTTGTATATCAGGTAAAGCAAGGTGCCTGTAAGTGAAAGAGTAACAGGCATAATGAACAGTTACTTGAAGGGTCTTAGTAAAGCCTTTTAATTTTACTTGTAGGAAATTGACATGAATCATTCTGATGACTGGGTAACAAATCATTTTGCAAGTAGGGTGCTTCCAGTTCTTTGTGTTACAAAAAACTGAAGGAGGACATAATCAAACAGTTAGTTGATAGATGATAGAAAAATTTTTTAATGTAGAATCACTGATTTTTTTTGGCACCTATGAGAAAGGAATTCAAATAATAGAGGGATATTGTTATAACAAACCTCCTTTTATTCCCATCTACCTATTTAATATGAACAAAGTTTCCATGTTAAGATAAGTTAGAGTATGCTGTGGAAACAAACCCTGTAATACTAGTGGTTAAAAACAAAACTCAGAAGTTAATTTATTGATCATGCGAAGCCTGCTATGGTCAGGACGCTTGCCTCCAAGCAGTAGCTCACAGGTCCAGGCTGTGTCCTACCTCCAGAACATGGGGTTTCCAGTGCTGCTTTGGCACTAGAGAACTGTTAAGTTCCCGGGTTTAGGAAGAAACACTTGGCACTTCCACTCGTGTGTCATTGGCTGGAACTAGTCACATGTCCTAAGCTAACTGAAAGGAAGTCCAGGAAGTCTTCTGCTTTGTGTGCTCAGGAAAGAGAGGATAACTGACTACAGTTAGCACCAGCAATTTCTACCAGAGTTTCTCAGCATGTATACCTACAAAAAAAGGAAAGAGAGAACGGAATTGATGCTGAAGCTTGATTTATACTAGCAATTTTTAACTAATGCTAATTAATTTTTATCTGTGATACATCCATTTCATTAAGAGATCCATTTGCTATCATTTTAGTTTGACGTATACTGATCTTATTTTAATCTTTGTAACATATTTATTTTGTTCTGATCAATTGTATACTAACAATAATTGAAATGACAACTCAATGTAGAAGTAAATGTATAATACTTAGAGCCTATGTTCACAGGAACTTCTTAAAAAATAATTTTAATTTATATACATATTTTTACTGCAGGAAAATATGATAAGGTAATGAATAAAATATTTCACAAATAAAAGTATATTTCATTAGGATAAAATTCTGGGGGGGGGGTTGGAATGGAAATACAAGATTAAAAGAAAGTAATATCTCTGACTGCTGTGTATTTCTATTTTTAAATAGATTATGATAGAACTCAAATTGTTGTAGTATCTCCAGTCAAAGGAACTTAGGCTTCTTGAGAAAGTAGTTGATTGCAGGTCTAAGGCAGGAAAACACAAGATGAAACTGGAATATCTTGTGACGGCAGAAAATAAGGAGGTGCTCACAGAAAGATGGGGCATGTCCAAAGGGCACAGGAACCAACCTGAAGGAGCTTTCCAGTGGAAATGTTGGAACAATTTGAGCAAAAAATAAAAAATGATAATATTGGATTATAACCCATACAATACATACCTGTGTGTCCATACTGATGTAAACAATTGAATGAGTGAATGAAAGAATGAAAAGAAGACACAGTTCTTCTCCCCAGCAAATTCCAATTAATAAATGTAGAAGAAATGGGAGAAACAAAAATCACTATCAGGAAAACACAACAATAATAATTGTTGTTGGCAAGACCTACAAGTTGGTGCAAAAGTTAGGGGGTGAATGTTTGAGGAAAAACAGAATATTTGCATAACCTTGCAGTATTCCCCCCAAAATAATCACTAATTACAAAGGGAAAGTAATAACTTTACAGTAAAGAAACTTCTTTAATCAAGGGATCAAGGTTAACAGAAGCAGTAATAAGCCACATCAGCATCATGTACCCCCTGGTATGGCACTGAGGAGGGCACATGACTTCTTTGGTATCCTCCCCAAAATGCGTAATCTCAACTTAATCATGAAAAAACATTAGACAAATCCAAGTTGAGGGACATTCCACAAGATAAATGATCACTTCAAAAGTGTCCAGGTCATGAAAGAAAGGAAAGATTGCGGAAATGTCAAGGATTGGAGGACACTAAAGAGACATGACAACTATATGCAAGTTGAAATCCTAAACTGGATCCTGGAACAGAAAATGGACTTTATGGGAAAATGGGAAAGTAAAATAAAGTCTGTGGCTTAATTAATAGTATTGTACCAGTATTAGTTTCTTTGTTTTGATGATTATACCATGGTTTTGTGAGGTGTACCGTTAGAAGAAGCTGAGGGAGGCTGTACAGGAACTCTCTGGACTAAGTTGGCAATTTTTCTGTAAACCTAAAATCATTTCAATATACAAAGTTAACATTTTGCTATGATATTATTCCATTGGCTATATTAAAAGGGCGATAAGGCACTTTTATTTTTACACGTCATTATTTATAATATTCTGAAAATTGCATCCTAATTATAAAAAATTTTGGCTGTCAACTTAGAAATTCGTGAAGCGAAATGCCTTCTTTCACAATTATTTTAGCAATTTTGTATGCTAGCCAAAAAGTTTGAGGACCACTTCTATATGACGTTTTATCTCTCTTGTCTCAGATGAGAAGCAGTGCAAAACCCTGTGTGTCTCCAACCTACCTAACACACCATCCGCTGTAGGATTAGGACCCAGACACATCTTGCTGCAGGCCACGCTGACTTCCATCTGCTCTCTTTTCTCTGCATTCTTCTTTTGTGTCACTTCCCTGTCTTATCAATACTTCTAATTCTCATACTCCTGCTTATCCCCTACAACCTTATGCCTTAGTATTAATAGGGTACGGCAGGGAAAAACTCACTTCATTTCCATTTTGTTCTTAGAGTAGAAAAATTGGGAGACATTTCCAAAATGGCATGTACATCATGATTCTTATTGCCAACATTTATTAGAAACTTTGACTGTAGTGATTATCAAGATACATGCCTGGACTATTTATTACCTCTTTCCCCACCTTTCAAAATGAGGATTTAGAGCAGGAGTTGGCAGGGCCAAATCCAGCCTGCAGCCCATTTTGGAAATAAGGTTACTGGGACACTGCCATTCCGCATTCGCTCACATACTGTGCATGACTGCTTTCATGCTTCCATGACAGAGCTGAGTGGTTGCAACAGAGACCGAATGGCCTGCAAAGCCTAAAATACTTACTTTCTGGACCTTTACAGGAAGTTTGCCAACCCCTGATTTAGAAAGTGAAAACCTAAATGGGGAAGTCTTACATACTTTAACGTATCTTAGCAAGCACTGTTATGTTAATGTATATGGGCAGCACTTAAAATATATTAATAAACAATTCTGATCAGTAAACATTTATTTAGAGCCTCTTGCGGCCCAGAGAGTGTCCTGTGCTCGGAGGCTATAAATACCAATAACACCCCATCTCTCCCCTCATGGAACTTAGTCTTGGGGAGAGGAATATGTAAATGATAAGTGCAATGCAATGTGACATAAATAATATCAAGAGGAAGAGAATCAGCAAAAAAAAGGAGAGGAGACTGATTAATTCTGTCAGAAGTAGACAAAGCCTTAACAAGATAAGTAATATATATTGAATTGTAGGAAATGTTAGATAAAACAGCTTTCTTTAGTATTTTTTGAGTTAGAAAGCAAGTTTTTAGCTTGGGGTCCGAATATTTTTAGAGAAAAATTTTAAAATGTGCCTAAATCTGAAATTCTGGATTTAAAAAAGTGAAACTATGCATGTGCCTCTAATACCTAATGACGAATTCTAATTGCAGAAGAATGCCAATAACTGAAACCACAAAATGAGCCCTATGTATACCGGTGACCTTCTTTACTCAGAATTAATTAACACAAGCACTTGTTTCTTGCAGAGCACTTTGCTGTAATTTAGAACAAATTAAGGGAAAAAATCATTCAAGTGCTGTTTTCTTCACACCATGAAGTAAGCATGATGGACCAAAGTTAACTCATTTAAGATATTATCATCCATTTTTTGTAATTATGAACAGCAATATCATCTTTTTTCTTCAAAAAAAAAAGACATCCTGATCTATGCTATTTTCAGCTTGTTTCCTGTGCTTCTATTTATTAATGGAAATTGATTTTTCAAGATTAATGTAAAATGTGTTTATGTTTCTCCCATTAAGTCTCTTATTTATATTAGATTCAATGTATATGTTCTGGATATTTTTCAAATAAATATATTTTTAATATAATACAGCAATTTGCAAATTGTTAAAGGACCATTTGTAATGTTTTCTCCTGGCCCCCTCCCCAGCCCTGAAACTGTAACTTTATTATTGTCTTCGCACAGTGGTTTGTGAATTAACTTGAGCTCCTTGAGTTCCTACTTCTAAGAAATTATTTAAAGTTTACTCTTTATCTTCTTAGTATACAGAGCTTGGTAGGAGCTGGAAACCCGACTCACAGATTTAGGAAACAGTGAGTTCTTGTCCCTGTAGACATCAGAACTGTGGGGAGGGAGAGATAGAGAACCAGAAGGCAGAACAAGGAAAAACTCACAGAAAGGAATGGGGAGGAATGGAAATGTAACAGGAAATGTTGCCTCAGCGAGTCACCATTTGGAGTTCCTGGCCCAGGAACTTTGGGTTTTGGAGTTCCTGGCCCAAAATGTGGTTCTGTGGAGGCTGAGGACAAACTTCAAGACAGAGGATGCCTTAATCAATGTGCTAAGCCACTGGCTCAGGCAGTCCTTAAGCAAGGGCTCCTCTGATCAGACAAGAAATTGTTTCCTTCCCTTTTACTCCAGATGACACCTAAAGGTGCAAAAGAAAACCAGTCTCTGCACACTACCAAACAGAGGGTGCATCTGAACAAAGCAGACCCTCCTGACCACAGGCAAGGACCGGAGAGCTTGGTGAAACTGGTGCTCAAGGTAGAAATTGCCTGTGGTTGCTGCTGCAACTTGTACTAAACGTCCCAAGCAAAATAAAGGAAGAAAAGAGAGATATTAAGCAAGAAGGCCTACTTGTTTATGCATTGCTTTAGAAGATAATCTGTAATTGCATATTAAGTAAAGTTAATGTTATACTTAAATAATAACCTGTATTTGTTACTGCATTTGAATCTCTCTTATCTGACTTATTTGGTCAGGAAATCAAAAAAGTTAGTTAAAGGAAGGAATCATAAGAATTGTTTTAACATTAAATATTTTATTTTCTATTAGAACGCAAAAACATTTATCCATTAATCTTTTGGTGTAGGGACAATGTCATTCCTTTTAATATTCCTTCTTGTTGGTTTTATGCATAAAGTGTATCTATAAGGTGTTGTTCACAATCTCCAGTTTTTAGTAAATGAAAATGGGACTCTGTCTCTGCAAAAAATACAAAAACATTAGCAGAGTGTGGTGGTGCATGTCTGTAGTACCAGCTACTTGGGAGGCTGAGCCCCGGGAGATCGAGACTGCAGTGAGCTGTGATCGCACCACTGCACTCCAGCCTGGTCAACAGAGTGAGACCCTGTCTCAAAAATAAAGATAGCTGTAGAACAATTTGAGTGCAAGCCCTAAATGTGTATAATTTTCCTCAATATTTGTAGTTGTCTTGCTCAATAATAGCTCACTGCAATGTCAAATCCTGGACTCTAGCAAGCTTTCTCCCTCAGCCTCCTGAGTAGCTGGGCCCACAGGCACATACCACCACGCACAGCTTATTATTTAACAAAACTTCTGTATAGATGGGGTCTCGCTATGTTGCCCAGGCTGGCCTCAAACTCCTGGCCTCAAGTTGTCCTCCTTCCTCACCCTGCCAAAGTGCTAGGATTGTAGGCATGAACCATTGCACCTGGCCCTATTTTATGTTTTATAATTAAACTGTATAATTACAATGTCTAGTACAATTGGCATTTACAGATTTGGGAACAAACACAACCAATGGGTGCTAAGCATATGAGGGAACCCATGGATGGAGCAACCTGGACCGCCTTATTTCACAGGTAGCTTGACTGGTCCCACAGGACAGGGAAGTGGTAAGCTGCGGCTTCAGCTGTTTGTGTTTGAGACTTATTCCACATACAGAAAGTAAGATTTTCCCTCAGAACCGAACTCTGGAATCCACACAGAATAGATCTAAGCATAAATAAGCAAGCAAGAAAAAGAATAGCTCCCCAGGCCACCTGTCAGATTGGAACTTGATTTAACATGTCTGAAAAAGGAAATCACGGAGGTGCTGAGGAAGGGGTGGGAAGAGAAACAGTCCCCTGTGGAAGCAGGCTCAGAGACAGGTGTCCTCAGCAATTTTGGGAGAAGGGACTTGCCAAGGCTCCTAGGGTATGGCTAAATGATTTTAGAGTTCCAAGGATATCCCTGTGGTGAGGTGGGTACATTATTAGGTCATCTGCTGTAAGCACAACTTCCTTTGTTTCATTTCCATGTTCACCAAAAATCTCTAGCTAGGATTTAGGTCCTCCATATGGGTGTGTCTGGCATTGAGAGAAAGTCTGACTCTGACTTTGAGTATGTTAGACCCCTAGGAGGATCTAATAATTTCCAGGGGTTTTTGGGGAACAGGTGGTGTTTGGTTCATGAGCATGTTTTTTAGTGGTGATTTTTGAGATTTTGGGTGTATTCATCACCCAAGCAGTGTACGCTGTAATCAATGTGTAGTCTTTTATCCCTCACCTCTCTCCTACCCTTCCCCCTGAGTCTCCAAAGTCCATCATATAATTCTCATGCCTTTGGGTCCTCATAGCTTATCTCCCACTTATGAGTGAGAACATACGACATTTGGTTTTCCATTCCTGAGTGACTTCATTTAGAATAATTGTCTCCAATTCCATCCGGGTCACTGCGAATGCCATTACTTCATTCCTTTTTTATGGCTGATTAGTATTCATATATATATATATACACACACACACACACGTATACATAGATATACACACATATATACACGTTATATATATTTTTTATATATATACACACACACACACACACAACTTATCCACTCATTGATTGATGGGCATTTGGGCTGGTCCCACATTTTTGCAATTGAGAATTGTGCTGCTATAAACATGCATGTATAAGTTATCTTTTTTGTATAATGACATCTTTTCCTCTGGGACACCCAGTAGTGGGATTGCTGGATCGAATGGTAGTTCTACCTTTAGTTCTTAAAGGAATCTCCACACTGTTTTCTATAGTGGTTGTACTAGTTTATATTCCCACCAGCAGTGTAAAAGTGTTCCCTTTTCACCACATCCACACAAACATCTATTTTTTTGTATTTTTTTGATTATGGCCATTCTTGCAGGAGTAAAGTGGTATTACATTATGGTTTCGATTAGCATTTCCCTGATCATCAGTGATGTTGAGCATTTTTTCATATGTTGGCCATTTGTATGTCTTCTTTTGAGTATTGTCTATTCATGTCCTTAACCCACTTTTTGGTGGGATTGTTTTTTCCTTGCTAATTTGTTTGAGTTCCTTATAGATTCTGGATGTTAGTCCTGTGTCAGATTTATATATTGTGAAGATTTTCTCCCACTCTGTAGGTTGTCTGTTTGCTCTGCTGATTGTTTCTTTTGCTGTGCAGAAGCTTTTTAGTTTAATTAAGTCGCATCTGTTTATCTCTGTTTTTGTTGTATTTGCTTTTGGGTTCTTGGTCATGAAGTCTTTGCCTAAACCAATGTCTAGAAGGGTTTTTCCAAAGTTATCTTCTAGAATGTTTATGGTTTCAACTCTTAAATATAAGTTCTTGATTCATCTTGAGTTGATTTTTGTAGAAGGTGAGAGATGAGAATCCAGTTTCATTCTTCTACATGTGGCTTGCTAATTACCCTGAACCATTTGTTGAGTAGAGTGTCCTTTCCCCACTTTATGTTTCTTGCTTTGTTGAAGATCAGTTGGCTGTAAATATTTGGCTTTATTTCTGAGTTCTCTATTCTGTTCCTTTGATCTATTCCTTTGTTCCTTTGCTCCTTTCTTCCTCTATTCCTTTGACTATTTTTATACCAGTACCATGCTGTTTTGGTGAGTATGGCCTTATAGTATAGTTTGAAGTCAGATAATGTGATGCTTCCAAATTTGTTGTTTTTGCTTAGTCTTGCTTTGGCTGTGTGGGTTCTTTTTTGGTTCCATATGAATTTTAGGATTTTTTTTCCAGTTCTGTGAAGAATAGTGGTAGTATTTTGATGGGAAATGCATTGAATTTGTAGATTGCTTTTGGCAGTATGGCCATTTTCACAATATTAATTCTACTTGTCCATGAACATGGTATGTGTTCCCAGTCATTTGTGTCATGTATGCTTTCTTTCAGCAGTGTTTTGTAGCTTTCCTTGTAGAGGTCTTTCACCTCCTAGGTTAGGTATATTCCTAAACATTTTATTTCTCCTTGTAAATTAATAAACTGACATTGTGATGTCCTCCTCAGTCTCATGTATGATTTTGTTTGGGCAGTGGCAGCTCTGGAGCATTGCTATAGGAGGTGCACAGGTGTGGGCAGTCTCACCAGAAAGGGGGTCTAGACCTGAGGAACTTGTCATGGTGCAGTGATTCCACAACAGGGACACCAGGCTTTCTTAGATGGCAGAACAGTCATATATTGGCATTACTACATCTACCTCAGCTTTTGCAGGTGTTTAGTTGAGTAAGCCAAAGCATGGCATCCCCTGGTCCAGAAAAGAGTTATGTTTCTGTGACTTGAAACCAGGAACGATGCCTGGGGCATAATGGTGATCTTTAAGTTCCAGCCCGTCTCCACACAGCCTTCCTTTTTTTTTTGAAGACAAGTAGGCCACTTCTACCAGCTCTCATCTCTCTTATTTCATGGTAGTATTTGAGAGATCACAAATCTACTTCAACCACAGTTTTACAGATGACAACAGAAGACTTAGAAATATTCTTTGATTTTACCAGTAATACATGGCTAATTTGTGACAATACATGAGAACTAATCTCATGATTCCCAGTTCTGATCTGGGTGGCTTGCAGTGTGACTGATCCCAGAGCACTGCAAGAAAGGAGGAGGTTAAGAGGAATGTGGGTCATGGTAGACCAGGGATAATGAAAGAGTCTATGTTATCAGACCATAAAATCAGAGAAAGGGAAAGAGGCTTCTCACCTGAATCAGATACCTGGGAAGGTGAGATATAGTTGCAGTTATGCACTGGTACCCAAATAGGTCTGTGGAATAGGAAAGAAGCCCCAAGGAGAGTTCTGAAGTGCGAGGTTGAAGGAAGGGAGTACAGAAGGGAG